GTGGGCATGGTGGTGTTGGGTTGGTGGTTGGACTGATGATCATAGATATCCTTTCCAATCTTAATGATCCCTAGCTTTTACTTTCATTAAAAAATAATGCAGCCACCAAGCCAGGAAACTCAAAATTGCTACTCTACCCTTAATTGATTTAGTGGTGGACTTGGTAATGTTAGGTTAATGGTTGGACTGGATGATCTTAAAGGTCTTTTCCAACCTGAACGATTCTATCCTTCCAACTGCCTTGTACCACCTGGAAAACAACAAAGTAGCTGGGCACTGGGGGCTAAAAATATTGAAGGTCCCTGGTCTACACAAAAATCCCTTTGGGTTTAGGGACAAATACAGACCTTCCTAGCCAACCTGAACGCCTAAGCAAATCAGTGTACAGACATATCAAAAGGATGGAAATACTTCCTCTCTGGGTGAAGGGCTACTATACAAGCAACTCTGGGTAAGCACCATCTTCCTATTCTGTGTTTTCATTAGGACTAGGAGGAGGTTCAGGGAAAGGCAACTTCAGGCTCCAAGGCACCTTGGTAGAACAAACAAAAAAATCCTGAGGATGTCATCTACTGGCTACATAGACAAAAACACTAAATAAGGGCACAATGAAGAGCTAGATTCACCCCCTAAAAATGTTATTTCAACAGCACTACACAGAATGCCTTTAACTCAGTCTTCAGCTCATGCTGACTTCACATTTGTCCCCGTTTTCTTCTCTTCAGACAATTCTATAACGGCCTTCAGCTCAGCTTCAGAGAACTTAGGGGTCAGTGCCACATTGTCATAATCAAATTCTTCATCAAGTGAGAATGGCTGAACATCATCCTCTAGTAGCTGTAATGAGGAAAAACAGATACATAAATAATATTGCAGCAAGTGATGATAAGGAAGCTCAAAATATAAATTTCTAATTAATTTTTAATTAAACAATTTTTTCTGACTCTGGCATTCTCCACTGATTAAGCTCTCTTTTAAGTAAAAGAATAAATTCAATTATTCAATTTGACCTAATTTAAGCCATTTAATGTGCTCCATTTGTACTGTACTGCATCTGAATGAATATCATTAGCTAATTTTGCTCAAGGCAAGGAATCTAAAAACCTCCCTTGCACACATATATAACATTCCTGCCACTTGTAGCGGCAGAGCTGTGGGGATATGGACAAGTTATGTACAGCTATATTAAATTTCAAAGACAGATTCCACATCCTTAAAATTTGGGCTAGTATCACATAATGCTTCAGTGTACATGCATCTGATACTAATGCAACATGCTTCCCAGAACAAAGTTTCAGCAAAGGAAATGCCTGGAATGAGCAAAATAACACATAATCAATTTTCAGACTCTAATAATTTCTTTTTACCATCTCAGAGATATGCAATTGGCTGGTTTGGATTTCTTGCATGACAAACATAGAGTCTTACTGCATTTGCCAATATTTGCTTTGTTGACATAATGTATAGCTTTTCTGTATTGCTTCTCATTGAAATATCTTAAAATAAATGCTCTGCCTATAAAATAAAATAATGAAAACAAATAACTATGGCAGGCTGCATGCTGATAAGGAACTGCAGGGGGCCATGACACAAAAGGTTTATGGTAAGCAGTTACATGAAATTAATTCCAGAGCTACACAGAAGACACATCCTCACTGCCCAAACTGTACAGGAATGCTCCCTATCCTTCGAGAAGTTAATATAAAATGTCTAGAAATTTCAACCATGTCAAATAGCACAACTCCTCAAGGGCTCTGTGTTTCAAAGATTTAAGTACTTCAGTATCAAATCAGCAAAACATTTAAACACGTGCTTATTTTTTCAAACCTCTGATGAATCCTCAATGAAGCCAATGACTACTGATGTATTTGAAGTTAAGAATACACTTATTTGTTTTGCTGCAAGGGAGGAAGAACACTTAGCATCTTATGGTCACTGCTCATTTTAGAAGGCACAATATCCCACACAATTTCTGTTTATCATTTTGTAAGAAGCTGTATTGACACAGTTAATGCCATCTAATAAGTCAGAGAAGTGGCAGCTGGATTCCTTTCTGGTGGCTGGGCACCTGACAAGACACGGCAGCGAGTATCTTGCAAGTATCTACAACCTTTATTAATAAACTGTAATATTGCCTGATTGACCAGGAAATATTTTTTCTGGTTTTGTATAATTTTATTAATCATCTGTATTGCTTAACGTTCTAGGCACCTGGCTTACATTGGCTTCAGTAGATGCTGGAGCATATAAATCATCCTAGATGCAGACCTGTAGACCATGGCCATTTATAAATGAGAAAAACAAACTTTGTAGATAGAGTTGGTCTAGAAAATGGCATTCATTCTGCATGCAAAGATTATCTTGCTTCTGTCCATAGACTATCCCAGGTAAACCATCATTAACTTTTATAAATAGCACATTCAAGTAATGTTTACATGAGACAAAGCCTGCACACAAGCTCTCTTTCCCATTAAGGCTAAGGTCAACTCCTTGACCTCCTCACCATATTCACGTCCAGTTTCATCTTTTCCCCAGGCAAAGCCTCCTAAAATTCCATGCCAGTAAGGGTACCAGCAACTGGGCAACAACTGGTACCAGCAACCAGGGTTCATTACTACCTGTCTTTCCTTAGCAGAAATACAAAACACACTTCTAAAATATGATGCAAGGTGCAAATATTTTTCAGTTAGTTTGGCTGTAACAAGTCTAGTCTACCCTTGATTGGTTTAGTGTGGACTTGGTAGTGTAGGTTAATGGTTGGACTGGATGATCTTAAAGGTCTTTTCCAACCTAAACGATTCTATGATTCTATGATTCTAATATTTGTTACCACATCTATAAGTAACTAAACTAAGAAGAGTTTAGATTACAGTAAGCCTTCATAGGGATTCTACAAAAACAAATCTATTCTTCCTCTGCCAACATAGTTATGGAAAGTATACACACATTCAGTAAGCCCTTGTGTTGACCTTCATGTCATTCCAGGAATGTTTCATGCATGTGCAGAGAAATATTGGAAAAACTTTTGTTTAAAAAACTCAGCCCCAAAATGCTAACTGAAATTAGATGCCGAAGTAGAACACAACCAACCTCACTGTTAACAATTTTTCTGTTACCCACTCACTGCACATTTGAAAAGTTTATTCACATTGCATATTTATCAGTGTGTTTCATCTCTCAAACAAGTACTCAAAGCACTAGGGATTCTTTTTTTTGCTTCTTCTCCCAAGAAGCCGTTCACCTCAACCTCCCACACAGACAAGCAATCTAAAATTTTTATACTGCAAACTGCAATTTTGATCTATTTCAAAAAGAAGACATTTTGCAATAGAACACCGAATCCTCTGAGCTGATCAAGTTATTATCTTGTTATTTTTGCCTAAGGAGCTGAGAGAAACATGTGAATTTCAGGTGTCTAATTTAACTTCTAATTGAAAACTTTTTGAGAGCTCCCTGGGAACAGGATTTTGCTCTACTAGAAAACTGCCAGTTTGCTTAAGATTGCTCCTGTGATTTACTCTCTGAAGAAAAAATCATTTTCATTTACAGTTCCTGCATGTCCAAATTAAAAAGGAAAAGAATGTAATGTTCATATTAATAACCAAAGTATTTTGCTAGAGGCTGTTTTACAAAGTAATGTTGTAAATAAAATACCTTAAAGTTGAGACTTTCAAATGTCTATTAATAATTGGCAACTCAGATCTTTTTATTAATCTGTGTGGAGTTACAGTTAACTGAACAGCTTGTCTCTGTCCTTCTAAAACCTTTATTTCTGTGTAATTATGGCACTCTCTGATTCACTTGTTCAAATTATGTAAAGGATGCACATACACTCACCAATGATTTCATTGTATACTCAAGGGAAAACTTACTAGATCAATAACAATAAGTAAAAAAGAGGGGGCAGGGCATGTATGCTATTATCTCATATAAGCTTAATATATACTGGGGTACTTGGGAGAAAAAAAAAGGTTGTCTTGACCTTGGGACACTGGATTGGGAGTCAATAAATCTTGACCAATTTTCCACTTCTGCCTCATCATTCTGGATAAGTCACTCAATCTCTGTGTTTTTACTGGCCTCTGAGAAATGTAACTCTTCCATCTTCTTTCACTTAACCAATCCTGTGTGTAAGTTCTTCCTTGTTATTGTTGCATTTATGCATAGCACTTAGCAGAAGCAAACTTCAGTTGAGGCCTTAAACCAAAGGAACTCAACGGAAGCTGTATTTTAGGTTATAGATGCTGCCATTCCACAGATAAAGATAAGAGGATAGGCATGGTAAATACTTTTTTAAATGCTCAAACTAAAGACAAACAATGGAGAATAGAAGGGTAGAATTCATCTTTCCTAATCCCAGCCATATAAAAATTAGGCTTCTAGATTAAGGCAGTGAATTACCCAAAAATACCCAGCCTGAGAGTCAGCCTGTAGATGGAGATGTATTACATCTCAGGACAAATGCCTACAGCAGGTGGGATGAATTACTTTCTGGAGATATACACCTTTCCCTAAAGTCCTTCACAAATATGTCCATAGCATAGACATTTGACATCCTACATTGCACTACCAAGCTTGTTTATTTTTTCCATTCTCTACAAAAAACGACTAGGCAGCCACATTCTGTTGCCCTCCCCTAACAGATTTGTTTTCATGGACACAGAACAGTCTCATTTCAAAGCAGGGATGTCTCCAGGAGAGCAGACTTTGGCCTTTTTAGAAGCCTGGTTGACAGAGTCCCTTGGGAGTGTGGTGGGTTGACCCTGGCTGAATGCCAGGTGCCCACCAAAGCTGCTCTATCACTCCCCTTCTCAACTGGACAGGGGAGAGAAAACAACAAAAAGCTCGTGGGTTGAGATAAGGACAGGGAGAGATCACTCACCAATTACCGTCACAGGCAAAACCAGACTCGACTTGGGGAAATTAGTTAAATTTACTGCCAATCAAATCCGACTAAGGTAATAGGAAATAAAAACTACATCTTAAAACACCTAAAACACTCCTCCCTTCTTCCCGGGCTCAACTTCACTCCCGATTTTCTCTATCTTCTCCCCGCAAGCGGTGCAGGGGGACAGGGAATGAACCACAACAGGGTTACAGTCAGTTCATCACATGTTGTCTCTGACAATCCTTCCTCCTCAAGGAAGGGACTCCTCACACTCTTCCCCTGCTCCAGCGTGGGATCCCTCCCACAGGACACAGTCCTCCACGAACTTCTCCAATGTGAGTCCTTCCCATGGGCTGCAGTTCTTCATGCACTAACTCCAGCGTGTGTCCCTTCCATGGGGTACAGTCCTTCAGGAAGAGACTGCTCCAGCATGGGTCCCCCATGGGATCACAAGTCCTGCCAGCAAACCTGCTCCAGCATGGGCTCCTCTCTCCATGGGTCCACAGGTCCTGCCAGAAGCCTGCTCCAGCGCAGGCTTCCCATGGGGTCACAGCCTCCTTCGGGCACATCCACCTGCTCCAGCATGGGGTCCTCCATGGGCTGCAGGTGGATATCTGCTCCACCATTAACCTCCATGGGCTGCATGGGGACAGCCTGCCTCACCATGGTCTTCACCACAGGCTGCAGGGGAATCTCTGCTCTGGTGCCTGGAGCACCTCCTCCCCCTCCTTCTTCACTGACCTCGGTGTCTGCATAGTCATTCCTCTCACATATTCTCAATCCTCTCTCTGGCTGCAGTTGTGCAGGTTTGGGTCTTTTTTTCCCGCCTTCTTAACTATGCCATCACAGAGGCGTTACCACTGTCACTGATTGACTTGGCCTTGGCCAGCAGCAGGTCCATCTTGGAGCCAGCTGGCATTGGCTCTGTCAAGACATAGGGGAAGCTTCTAGCAGCTTCTCACAGAAGCCACCCCTGTAGGCGCCCCGCACTCCCAAAACCTTGCCATGAAAACCCAATACAGGGAGGCAGTCCTGAAGGGAAAAGGAGTCCACAAGGTTGGACATTCTTCATGAAGGAAATCTTAAAGGCGTAGGACCAGGCCATCCCTATGTACTGAAAGACGAGCTGGCAGGGAAGAAGACTGGCCTGGCTGAACAGAAAGCTTTAGCTGGAACTCAGGGGAAAAAAAGGAATTTTTGACCTTTGGAAGAAGGGGCAGGCAACTAAGAAGTACTACAAAAGTGTCATGAGGTTATGCAGGGAGAAAATTAGAAGGGCAAAAGCCTAACTAGAACTTAATCTGGCTACTGCTGCAAAGGACAATAAAAAAATGTTTCTATAAATACATTAGCAACAAAAGGTGGGCTAAGGAGAATCTCCATCCTTTATTGGATGTGGGGGGAAACACAGTGACAAAGGATAAGGTACTTAATGGCTTCTTTACCTCAGTCTTTAATAGTAAGACCAGTTGTTCTTGGGGTATCCAGCCTCCTGAGCTGGAAGACAGGGATGGGGAGCAGGATGAAGCCCCCATAATCCAAGGGGAAATGGTTAGTGACCTGCCACACGACTTAGAGATACACAAGTCTATGGGACCAAAGGGTACTGAGGTTGCTGACAGAAGAGTCCACAAAGCCACTTTCAATCATTTATCAGCAGTCCTGGCCAGCCGGGGAGGTCCCAGATGACTGGAGGTTAGCAAATGTGATGCCCATCTACAAGAAGGGCTGGAAGGAGGATCTACAGGGAACTACAGGCCTGTCAGCCTGACCTTGGTGCCAGGGAAGGTTATGGAGTGGATCATCTTGAGTGCCATCACGCGGCACATACAGGACAACCAGGTGATCAGGCCCAGTCAGCATGGGTTTATGAAAGGCAAGTCCTGCTTGACTAACCTGATCTCCTTCTATGACAAGGTGACCCACTTAGTGGATGAAGGAAAGGCTGTGGATGTTGTTTACCCAGACTTTAGTAAAGCCTTTGACACCATTTCCCACAGCATTCTTCTGGAGAAACTGGCTGCTCATGGCTTAGACAGGCATACTCTTGCTAGGTAAAAAACTGGTTGGGTGGCCGAGCCCAGAGAGTTGTGGTGAATGGAGTTAAAACCAGTCAGCAGCTAGTCACAAGTGACGTTCCCCAAGGCTCAGTTTTGGGGCCAGTCTTGTTCAATATCTTTATCAACGATCTGGATGAGGGGATTGAGTGCACCCTCAGTAAGTTTGCAGATGACACCAAACTGGGTGGGAGTGTCAATCTGCTCGAGGGTAGGATGGCCCTGCAGAGGGATCTGGACAGGCTGGACCGATGGGCTGAGGCCAACTGTATGAGGATAAACAAGGCTAAGTGCCGGGTCCTGCACTTGGGTCACAACAACCCTATGCAACGCTACAAGTTGAAGAGTGGCTGGAAAGCTGCCTGGTGGAAAAGGACCTGGGGGTGTTGCTCAACAGCCAGCTGAACATGAACTGGCACTGTGTCCAGGTGGCCAAGAAGGCAAATAGCATCCTGGCTTGTATCAGCAACAGTGTGGCCAGCAGGAGCAGGGAGGTGATTGTTCCCCTCTAGTCAGCACTGGTGAGGCTGCACCTCAAATATTGTGTCCAGTTTTGGGCCCCTCAATGCAGGAAAGACACTGAGGTGCTGGAGCGCCTTCAGAGAAGGGCAACGAAGCTGGTGGAGGGTCTAGAGCACAAGTTTTAAGAGGAGTGGCTGAGGGAACTGGGATTATTTAGCCTAGAGGAAAGGAGGCTCAGAGGAGACCTGAAAGGAGGTTGTAGCGAGATGAGTGTCGATCTCTATTCCCAAGTAACAAGTGATAGGATGAGAGCAAATGGCCTCAAGTTCTGCCAGGGAGGTTTAAATTGGATATCAGGAAAAATTTCTTCACTGAAAGAGTTATCAAGCATAGGAACAGGCTGCCCAGGGAAGTGGTTGAGTCACCATCCCTGGACATATTTAAAAGACGTGTAGATGTGTAGACGTGGCGCTTAGGGACACGGTTTAGTGGTGGAGTTGGTAATGTTAGGTTTACGCTTGGACTCGATGATCTTAAAGGTTTTTTCCAACCTAAATGATTCTATGATTCTGTTCCAGGGAAAATCTTTTTCTCTTTCTAAACGAGTCCTGCCATAAGCAACACAAGACTTAATTTTCAAGGCAATGACAATTTGAAACACTGAGGGCTTTTAAAAAGGACCTGTTCAGTCTTGGCAGTTCTAAAAATCAGGCCACAGTTATATTATCTAAATGAAGGCAGAAATATGTGTATAATTTAGGGGAAAGACTGCCTTCATCTTGAGTAGCCTGGCACCACCCAAACAGTTGTGAAAATCATAAGTCTTCTTGAAAAAATGCAGCAACCCTTAACCAATGTAATAATACTCAGTTTCTCTTTCATAACCCAACTTTTCCTCAAATGGAAATGAATTTTGCATGCAGTGGGATCTTCATGTATTTTTCATGAATTATAGTTTAAAGAGTCATATGCAACGCTTTATGAACACTGCAGGCTGCTACAACCCTCCTTCTTCGGTTTTATACAGAAGTTATCAAATGAGAAAACTATAAAACCTCATTCTAGGGGTTTTTTGGGTGTGCCAATGAATATTTCTCAAGGCAAAAGCCTTGAATTATGTCAATCCTTAGGGAAAAGAGTGAGTATTTTTATTCACAGAATGGTGGGTATTAAAGCCTGAAAGGTCATTTTAGAACATTTACTTTTTCCCAAAGCAGACTTGTTCCTTACAGTAAAGAGTTTATTGCAAAGAACTAAACACAATTGAGCTCAGGAAAGGAGGCACCATATGCACTGCTATAACATCAATCCTTCACTGGTCACGTGTCATTTATAAACTTGATTTAAGCCTCATGGGACATCAATAAGCATATGAAACTATCAAAACTGGCCCATTTTAGCCGGAAGCTAACTTCAGCTTCTATTACAATGATGAGGCAGGGGAAAAGAGTGGTGAAGAATTCTCTGCAATAGAAACATCCCCAAAAGTTAATGCTCACACTGACTATTTGGATAGGAAGCTTAATGACTTAAAATAAGCCTGTGAGCAATTCACACCTTCTGTTCTAGTTTGAAAAGAACTGAAACTCTGACAGAAAACGGCAATTCTAAATTAAAGCTTGTATTGATTGTGTCTGATTAAAAGACTCAGACTCCATAACCAGACCTAGACAATGCAGATCCTCAACAGCATCTTGCTACTTCTCCTTTCCAAGAGGACAAATCCCAATTCTGAGCACAATATATTCTAAATCCTTTTTTTCTTTTAAATGTCACGTTAAAGGGATCCTTCACTACCTCCTTGTTGCAGAAGATGGTCCCTATATTCAGCCCAATGAGAACTGCAGGATGTTGTCAGATGATGAGATCACTGGAAAATTAAATGGCCCATCATTCTATGTAAGTAATGATTTGTTAAAAAGTCAGGAAGTGTAAGAGTTTACCTGAATATTCTGTGACTTACACCAATTAAATATTAAAAAGCCCACATACAGTTCGAAGTACTGAAGTGCACATTTTGAAAATGTAGAATTATATAGTAGCAGTGTGCAAGATAAAATAGTACCTTCCTATTAGAGTGTTTCTCTCAATTCTTAATGAATTCATTAATAATTTAAAAATAATGTGATCTGTTAACTCATAGCAGTTCCACACACTCCATCTATATCCCTCTGTTCTTGCGGAAATAACATTAGAGGCCAATAGGTAAAAAAACACATCCCAAGCCCCCAGTGTTTAAATAAATAAATCTGACCTCATACCTCTTGGGCTTTGCTGTCCAATGGCCGTGGAACTGACAAGGTTCTGAACTTCAGTTGAATAGGTTTATCAAAAAACGGTGTACAGTAAGTCACTGCCTGTTCCACCTCTCCTGGGAGAACTAATGACCCTGCTGAATAAAAAATAGTCAACTTTACCCTTCCATTCAATGTATAAATTAGCAAAATCCTGTGTAAAATCCTGCAGTGCTCAGACACATGCAGAAGCTTGTTAGTCAAAGTGTGCTGTACTTATTGTTGCATAATATATAATATAGGCAGCTATCTTTAAAACTGATCTGTGCAGTCCTGAGCTAAAATCTAGACAGTAAAATATACTATACTAAGGAAAAATCAAACCTGGTTGAAAACAGACAGGTAGCTCTTCTTTCTTGAGGACACTGGATTAAAAATCTGGATGTAGACGCTCCTAAACTCAGAGAACACCTGGGATTAGATTAATCTCTTTCATAACAAAGAAGGAAGGTCCTGAGCAGCGATGTCTGCAGTAGGAGTTACAAAATAACAGACTGAATCCTGGTCTTGCCATTGATTAGCTAGGCAGTCTCATTCCGTTCTGTTTTGCTACAGTTTCACCACCTGTACAGTGGGCATAAAGAATCTTTGCAAAGCATCTTAACATGACTCTCCTGAAACATTAAGTAAAAATACCTGGTAGAAGTACTAATATTCTCCACTACAGTGCCAGATGATTCACTTGTGCAAGGATATTTCATGGATGTTTGTTCCTCCCTGAGCTTTCCAAAAAGAGGTACTTGAGAGGACTTCCCTGTATCTGGGACACAGAAACAGGTAACCTTTCCACACGGGCAGGATTTGGTTCACAGTTCACAAATGCACAGACTTTCTGAATCAATTTTCCTTTACATACTTAGAATCGTAGAATCAAGAATGCTTTGGGTTGGAAGGGACCTCATCCTGGGAACAGTGGGTTTGCTTTCTGTGACAGCTCAGAAGGATATGCCTTAAGTTTAGAAATATATTTTAACATGAATCAATCTCAGCTCTGCTACAGCACAGATGTGTCCATCTTGTCTCAGTAATGTTTTTATGAAGGAACTTAAAGGGACCATATGTCTTGCAATTTAGTCAAAGGATTATGTAAATCTACCTACTATTTTTTTCTGGCTGATACACAAGTTTCTTTACAGCTTTATACTATATTTTAGTAGCTTGATTTCCTCTTGAAATCTCAGAATAAATTTTCAAAGCATTGCTGAAATGTTAGTTAATGGAACCAACAGGAGGGTACATAGATCCAGGGTGAAAAGGAAGAAGTGGCGATTTATCTCTACCTGCACACTTTTAGCACAGTAGTGGAGTTACAGACCTCTCATTCTCCTGTAAATCTGCATTTGAAAATAATGATTTCCTAGCTAGGCTTTCATAAAAAAATCCATGATTGAATTCTTCATTTAGTTTTCTTCTGGGAATTGTGTACTATTTCAAAGTCAGTAGGGCTTTGGACTTGTAAAGTAGAATGTTCTTTAAAAAAGAGCTTAATTCATTCCCTTGGGTATCTCATTCCTGGATTTTTGTCTTTTGGTTCATGATTCACGTATAAGTGGTTTCCAGTTTTCATCCCTGTTCTCTTGGTTGCTTATATCTGTCTGTAGTCACCTATGTGCTTTCAGTACTTTTTCTCAGCATAGCACCTGACCTTATTCTGCACCAGTTATATGAGAAAGCTTTCTGAAAAGAACAGTGCAGTCCGCAGGTATATATGCTATGTCTTGACATGCTCTGCAACTACTTTTTTCGGTCTTTCATAACTTGGATCAAAACTATTTGTAAGACAGAAGGAAGATGTGAATGCTCATTTAAAGGCAATGGCATCTTCCGCTATTGTTTCAAACTTGTACCCTAAATATATACCCTCACTGAAGGAAGGAAAGCCTGGACATCAAGAGGTTTGCATCACCTCCTGATATAAACACTGACTATTTCTGTACTAAGAGCTTCCCCCCCACCCCCCAACAAACCAATCTGCAGAGAAAAGATGAGGAGGAAGTACTGTTATTCAACAGTCTGGCAATGGCTCAGAAAGACAACCCTTAAAAATTAGGACAACAGAAGGAAATTTATTTTTGCTTTTAGCAAGAAGTGCTTGTCATACTCAGAATGTCAATTCCACTATTTTAAGGCTCATTAGTAATGCAAACAATGTTTCAAATTCCCTTCAATCACACCATAAGAATGTGGTAATCAACCTTTGTTTGCCAGTAGACATGCCAGAAATGAGCTTTGTCTCTCTATCCTGGCTGTGTGACAGAATATGAAAGTCTAATCGGTAAATGCTGCTTTCCCTGATAATGTTTAATCAAGAAACTCCTTCAGAGAGAAAAATTAGGGAGTTTTGACAGTCCTCCTTCTCCATGGGAGCACCCAAAGGAACTGTAGGCTATTGTAAGTTCTAGCCAGTACCTCACAGCTGGTTTAGGCTGATGCTACAGCACTAGTGGATGATGATCCTAATTAAGCTGCTAATTATGTTCCCTGTGGAGGTGATTAATTAGCAACAGGAAAGCCTTGGATACTGCCAATGGCACCATATGTAGAGATAACTGAGCAGGCAGTGATATCAAAAATCTGAGATTTTGAAATGCACCTCTCCTCATACCATGAAGAATCAACTGCCTGTATGATATGGCAGTGAACTCAGATGTCTTTACTCAAGTCCAGCACACTTTAATGATGGTGTATCGGAAATTGATGAATTCTCTTCTCCTTAGTCCCTTTCCCCCTCCCACATAATAGACCCACAGAAAGTGACTACTAAATCTGTGAATACTGCTGACTTGGTGGTTTTTGCTCATTGTGTACCATTGACCTTAATTATAACTACAGAAAAAAAGACTCTGTTGGCACAAACCTGATTTGAACTGTCAAGAGTAAAGAAGTTCAGTCTTGTCTAAATCTTTAGCTTTACTGTGGCAAATTGATGCCCAGATATAGATACACTAACACAGATTTTACTACTTTCATACACTAGATCTCACAAAAATGCTGTTGATGGGGAGCTAAGGAGGGAGGTAGTGATAATGAGAAAAGCTTAAAAGCTAAGTTTTGCTGTCTCCTCTCATTCTCAGGCTTAGCCCTGAAGAGCTGCCTAGTGTGAAATCATCTCAAGGCAGTATTAAATGGATTGCAGAGACTGGAGGAGAAAAAAAGAAAGAGAATCACCAGCTGGGGGGAGCCCCGTACTTGAAAAAACCCACGTAATTTAACTCTGAATCCTCTTCCTCAACCTGATTCTTCTGGATGTAAATATAGGCTCAAAATATAAATGGAAAGGCACAGATTATGGAAAATTACTAATACTGATATACTTTGTCTAAAGAATTATTTAAATAGTCAAATAGTTATGCTTGGCCTCAGCTTCAAAGTAATTGAGTCACTTGGATTTTCCTCAACCTCTGTGTGGTTACAGAGAACTGGGACTTTGAAAAGACAAGTTTACAGTACCTCAGGGCTCCAAGATGGATTAGGATGAGATTCTGATATCCTTGCCTATGAAGCCTCAACCTGCCTATGCAGCCTCAACCATACATTTAATTGCTCCTATTTTAATTTTCTCTTGTATTTAAAAAATAGCACACTCAAGGTTTGTAGACATGCTTTTTACATATTTTGTACTTCATACAAATATTACCTAATATTACCTAACTATCCTTTGAGCCCTGTGGCAAATGATTTGTCACCAGTCCTGGAAAAGAACTCTGTTGCCAAAACATAGGAACTAGGCATTCTCCATCCATCCCCTGACAAAGCCTGATCATCTCTATTGTTGCCTTAAGCTACTTACAGTTACACACTAAATTCAGTGAGAAAGAGCAATTAAACAGTCTACCATACACATGCT